CAGCCTTCGTCTTTGGTTGTGCTGAATGACCCTGTCGACGTGCATCCCCAGTATTGTACCCATTGTACTCAGGACAATCTAGTGTGCTGTTCATGTAGTGAAGGAACGCAAAGTCCATCTCACTGGCTCTTCCCTTTGAAATTACTTGTTGTGCCAGCATACGCAAGGGCTGAACTGATCGTTTGGGGGTGTTCTGTGGCATCGGAGGCTTCTTGGGACCATTATATCTCTTTATCTCGACGTCATACTCGAGTGGCTCAACCATGTCTTCCTTTTTCACACCTCTAATGGTGTCTTCTTGGACTGTTTCACTACTGTTACTATCTGGTTGTGTGAGCAGCATGGCAAGGGAATGGGTGGATGACTTTCCGTTTGGAGACGATATGTCAGTATCAAAATTGTCAACAATAACTTGAACCAAGCTTGAACTTGAAGTTGATAGGCCTGGTAGTGAACGTTCCATGGTTGTGGCTTTGGCAGCTGAATGTTTAAAACGCCGTACTTCATCGTAGGTACATGTAACACCATACTTTTGTAACACGTTGATAAGTTTTTTGGATCTACTCATCTTGATGCCAAGAGTAATTTGCAAACTAGTGGGATGGTTTTACCCCAGTTACCATTGAACCAATGAGAAGTGCAGGTAGTGCCCTATCTAGGTTAGGAGACAGCTTCCCTAACCGTTGGATCAAAGTGTCACTCACGGTCTCTCTACATTTTTGTCGGTTAACAGTAGTATCATAACAATTTTTATCTAATGTTATTTGTTTCACCTCATGCCTGATGACTTTGCACAGTTTGTTGATTGTTACATCAATGTCATCGTCCTCGTCTTGAACCAATCGCAAACATTTTGCAGCTATAGATCGCAAGCTAACAATGTCTGCTAACCCTGGAGACTTTAAAACCACCAACTCATCTCCGAAGCGTTCGAATAGGTTTGGGACAATTAAACGACGTGTCAGCCTATCACCCCCGAATTCTTTGTATGCTTCATGCAACTCAACTGAATTCAGGAAGCCGGACGAGTCTTTGATCATTACAACAAGTGATTCAAAGGCACGATCAATGTTAACTTGGCTATCAGACTTTGTTGCAGCTGAAGCCACATTTTTTTCTGTCAAGAAGCTATTTCGGCAATCCACATGATACCTTGCATCAGCTGCGTGAAGGTCACTTACAGTGCTATCTACCCTTTGCCGCACAACTTCTGATAACTCATCTTGACGCCGTTCGCAGGCTTCAAGTATAGTTTGCTTGAGTGACTTCTTGCCACCTGCGCTGCCTATTTCCGGACATGAATATGCTGGTCGCCAACGTTTCGGGTTTTTCGGATCTTTTTCAACCACACAAGTTTCACCACAAAACAAACAATGTACTTTGAAGATAAACCCTGGTAGTGATGACCGTCTCCTGGTCTTAGGTGGAATGTAAGACGAGTAACTTTCTGGATTCTTCCTTTTGTGCCTTTCAACCTGGAGGCTTGAAGTGTATGTTGAAGCACAGTTTCTGTGACATTTAACTGTGCATTCAGGATTTTCACTAACTTTTTCTGCAAGAAGTTCATGATACCTGTCCCCGTAGATTTTGCTATGCTTGATAAAGTTTTGAATCCTGACAGGACCAGTGTCTTTCAACGGTTCAGTCTTATTCTCACATCCAAATTTGGACACGAAAAAGCACTGTTCTTCATTCATGTTTACTATTAGTGATCGTCATACGGGCAGCACCTGAAAAGACAATAGTGAATTATTAGTGCCCGTCTATTACAATATGATATTTACATAATACTTAGTTCTAATGGATAGCTTGACCCCTAAAACCTAGTAGGTATAGAGACAAAAATCACCTGCCTAAGGTGAATAGGTAGGGAGTTATGGTCATTTATAGGTAATGGCGGCCATCTTGGCAGCCATCTTGAAAATTACCATTATGTAATACGATATTAACATAATACTTAGTTCTAATGGATAGCTTGACCCCTAAAACCTAGGTATAGAGACAAAAATCACCTTCCTATGATGAACAGGTAGGGAGTTATGGTCATTTATATGTAATGGCGGCCATCTTGGACGCCATCTTGAATTTCTCAAATTGCTCAAGGGTGACAACATGTCATCAAGCAGTTTCTGAAAAAAGAGACCCTTGGCTACCAAAATCAACAGTAAAAAAACTTAATACAACAATGCAAGGTTAAGGGGGAAAATTGCAGTTGGCTCCCAGACTATTAAACTTAATCAGGAAAAGACGGAACTAATCGTCTTTTCCCCAAAGTGTCAGCAAACAATGGCTCTCCAGCTCAAGGTTGGTGCCAGAACTATTGAGACTGTTTCAGCTGTTAAAAACCTAGGGGTATACTTTGACAGTTCTCTGAACATGGAGAAACAAGTGAACGCTATTGCCAAATCCTGTTACTACCAGATCAGGAACATCGGCTGTATTCGGCAGTTTCTAACTGCAGATGCATGCAAAATTTTGGTGCATTCACTTGTTACCTCTCGGTTGGATTATGGTAACGCCCTGCTCTGTGGTATATCTGACAAACTAACTAGTCGTCTGCAGAGGGTTCAGAACACTGCAGCACGGCTAGTTACTCGTACTCGAAAGAGAGAGCACATCACACCTGCGCTTTATTCGTTGCACTGGTTACCTGTACGATACAGGTCGCAGTACAAAATTCTGGTATACACATACAAGGCACTGAATGGAACAGCTCCTCAGTACCTACAGGAACTTGTTACGCTGTATCAGCGGTCAAGACCACTGCGGTCGGAGTCAGAATCTTTGTTGTGTGTCCCAAAATCTCGTACTGTGACCTACGGAAACAGATGCTTTGGGAGGGTTTCGGCTACGTTGTGGAATAGCTTACCATCTGCTATTAGGAAGTCGAATACCCTGGCCAAGTTCAAGAGGGACATAAAAACTCACCTCTTCACGTCTGCATTTTAGAATCTTTGCAAAGACGTCATTTTAATACCACCCTTTTATTTGTTCAATTATGTGCACATTGCTTGTTAAATGTATGAAAGTGATTGCAAGCCTTTGTTGTTTGTTTTCACAATTATAACCATTACTATTATCCATATGTTGTAAAGCGCCTTAGAGTAATATTACAAATTATTTAGGGCGCTATATAAATACTGTACATTATTATTATTATTATATTATATTTGTTTCAACGGATTTTTTTTTTTTTTTTTTACTGTCATTATTTGATCAAAGTTTACTTATTTCAATATCTATAGATTTTACACAGAACCAAAAATAAATTGAACTCTTTTGTCACGGATCTTTAACTTGGATACTGTAATTCTTAACAACAGTTCACTTTTCTTTGGAAAACCAAGTTCCCTTTAGCAGATGTTGGTGTATAACTGTAGTTATCATAACTATACATATAAATTATGTTGTGCAGTCTTACCAATGCGCACTATCTGACAAACTATTTTGAAATGCCACACTTCTCTTCAATTACATTTCTTGTTATCAAAAATGGCACAAAAAATGTATAAAAATAAAATGCTTAAATTCATTTAAGGCATTAAAAAGGTTCTTTATGAACGGTATTATAGCACGCTCTACACAAAGCTTATTCAAATAATCCCTCTAGCATCAATAAATAAAAAGTATACCTAGCAACGAGTTGACCTCATCGCCAAGTTTAAACAAATTAATGCCCTTTCTGACGTCTTGTTTTGTATGATAAATTCTAGATTAAGGCGTGTTGATCCCTTGGCACTATAGCTATGCTCACAATTGTAAACATAACAATTCATAATAAAGCAGCAAACACAGGTTTCATGAAAGCATTTCAAACACATTTGTACTTACCATGGAGTTTCGAGTTATGATGTGTACATATTTACATTGTATTATGTCATCACATTCATTCCAATCTGCCTGCATTGCCATGCTTTACACTTACTTCAGTTAACCGATCACTGTTTCTTTTAAAATGTTGTTTTTATTAATAAGTGAGTTCTATTTGTGTACGGAAAACCAATTAAACTTTTTTTTTTTTTTTATAAAATATTTTTGATTAAACAAATAACAATTTCTATAAATTGTTTTTTTTTTAATTGTTATTATAAGGAACATCACAAGCTATTATATGCATATGTTGACAGGTCTCGACCTCGAGTTGAACGCCAGTCCCGTGTTATATCAAACGATACAAAATAAAGCTAACTGTTCTAAAAAAAGACTGTACAAGTATAATAGAAACCATTCCAAAATAAATATTGATACAACTTCAAATGCCAAACAACAAAGATAGTTTTTAATGGGGCCGCTGAATCACATTCCAAACCTCTTTCAAGTTAGATACATTTGTAAATTTTTATCCATTGATAGAAGATTTGAATATTTTTAATAGATCGTTCTATACATCCTTTTAACTCAATATTTGACAATATAAGTACAGATGACTGCAATAATTTTACTTTTGAATACTCTCTCAGTTTCTAACTGAATAGAAATGTTTCTAGGCATATTTTACACACATTCAGCACGTGTACACTATACACTGACCGACTGTAAATAAGCTGGCCTAAGCTGGTCTGTCATGAAACCTTGACCAATGACCCCTGTCCAGCTGTGTTTGTATACAAACCACCATGTGTTGCCTGTTGGGCTAGTTTGTGTATGTGTACACGACTAATATCTGTCACAGTTCGTATCTTCACACATTAACCGCGACAAAATATGTGGGATTCTATTGTATTGTAAAAGTACCCTTATACACATATAAAGAATTGTATTGAGTTTGTACACCTTGTTCTTTTATTTAACACAGAAACAATGGTGTATAATATGTAGCTACATGTATATAGAGAACGTATCAAGGTGTAAGTAGTTTGCCTAGCCCTCTTCACAACTCTTATAATTAACATATTTACCTTCTATAAATAAAACTTTGTTTCTATAAGAATAAAGACATAACATCGACTCAGCCCCTCACTATGTATTTGTAACTCAATCCTTTGTAGTGTTTACAACAGCAGAGAGTACACGTGATAAGCATTCTCCCGACAAAAGGTCACGTCCCCACGGGGAGGTCATAATACAGGACTGGTATAGAAGCGTGGACTTTCATTAACGACCATACACGTTACCTGTCGGGAGAGGTATATACACAGAACAGCACAGGACTGCAAATATGTTGGACATGCTGTTAAACATGGACCCTTTGACTGTCGCCCTTGGTATTTTAGGACTTTTATTTCTCCTGAAACTTGTGTATACTCCCCGGAACTCTCCGCCAGGACCTATCGGATACCCAGTTCTGGGTAACGTTCCGCTTTTGTTATCTGGAAACAAAACAGCAACTTTCCGGAAACTACGACGTGAATACGGTGATGTGGTTGGTCTCCGCCTTGGTTGCACGAATACCGTGGTTGTTAATGGGTATGATACTCTGAAGGAGGCGTTTGTAAAGCATGGCGATGTGTTATCAGACAGACCTAATGACATTGTTTTCCGACACCTCAGCGACTATGGAAAAGGTAAGTGTCTCATTCAGGATCCGAATGGATTCAATCATTCACCACCGTAGATTCGTAAATAATCTGCTCGACATTTATTCTATCATGTTAGTTTATAAAATATGCTCAAGATTTTGTCTCGTCAGGTTTAAAACTGTCGTTTTGGAATTCTTTCGCGTAAACGAGAAAATACAGACGATCGAGGTTTGATGTAGTGATATCGGGAGTAGCTCGATTGTCGCCATATTTGTTATCTCATCACAGGTACTAGCCTCGTCTGTCAATAGGCCTATAATATAATCAAGGTTGCTAACTCTGTCCACCTAGTAAAATGACCCCGTTCCAGAAAACATGTGATTTTGTCATAACCGTTAAAAATATGACGACCGCAGTAGTCTAGATCGACAGGAAAACATCTTTTGTACGATCGCGTCTTTTAGGCGTCGCACTGAGCACAAAAACCTATGAAGCACATGTAGACATCGAAAATCATACATCGTATTCTGGTTTGGTTAGCCGTTGAGGCTAATAATAAAACTTTTTCAACAAATGCACAATCATTCCCTATTTACGGTAACATTTTCTGAAGTGCGATGTATTTCTAATTATTTTATGTTCTTTTTTGTTATCGTCAAACTAAAATAGTACAAGGTTACTTTCCATGAAAATTTCCGTTCCATTTTAACACACTCTCTTATGCAAACCAGGAATATGTAATGGCAAAACTTAAGATACCCGACTACCTATTCGATTAGTTTCTGTGAACAAAATGACCAATCGATAGGCCGATACCTGTCTTTGCAGATTAAAGAGAAGTTACACCCGACTTTGAAGCCGGTCAGTTTTACCGTTACGTTACCGCGGGATTATCTTCTGTTCATTGTGTCGATTTTGTGATGACTACTGCAGTATTGAGGATGCTTTCAGTATTCGATTGTAATCAACTCTAAATATATATATACATATAGATATGGCAACGAGCGCCAGTTTCTACACAAATTCACATGTGTACACATATAGGGAAATGACAACGAGCGCCAGTTTCTACACAATTTCGCATGTGTACACATAAGGAAATGACAACGAGCGCCAGTTTCTACACAATTTCGCCTGTGTACACATAAATAGATAGCACAACGAGAGCTTATACACGTTATATAGACACCACAATGAGCGCCACCACAAATTCACCTGTGTCTGACCTGCCCTCTTATCTCATGTAGAGAATGTTAACAACTTCGCCAGGCTATTACTTTCAGTCATGGTCACTATAATTGTATTCAAACAGAGGGGTATCTGGCGAGTATATCCGCCATTAACGATATGATAGATACAGCTCCGTCGCTACAAAACTAATATGAACGCAACCCTGTATAAGTTCGTTTTTAAAGAAAAGTACTGAAGACAATCTCAGATTTTGAAGATACATGCTAAATTTTACTGATATTTTTTTTTAAGTAATACAAACTGAAGACCATTCAGTTATTGAAAATATAGATTCAATTTTACTGATATGTTTTTAAAAGGAAATCAAATATGATTATCAAGGGCACACACAAATTAACAGGCTTGAATATGTCTTTTATTAGACGAAAGACAAAACAATCGTTGGCATTTATAAAATGAATAGTATATTATATCATTATAGTAACACAACATATTTGGTATAAGTTATGTCTCTAGAAATTAAAAGTAACATTCTTTAATCATTTTTGTGAGAGAGAAAAAAAACAAGCAAAAAAAACAATAAACTAGTTTCTCAAACTGGCATTTGCTAAGATACATTTTTAACGTCGAGATCTGACAAGAAAACAAAAGAATAAAGTCAACCATACATGAATTAGACTTCTTTTTGTTTTTTGCTTTCGATCGTTCAGAACTGTTATGTTTCTATGCTTATATTCACAGGCATTGTCGGTAGTACAGGTGACTTCTGGAAACACACCCGCACATTTTCCCTCGGAGCATTACGAGAGTTCGGTTTTGGAAAGAGATCTCTCGAATCGAAAATACAAGAAGAGGTATCAGTATTTCTTGACATCGTTGCTGACAAAAATGGAGAACCGTTCTTTCTCGGCGCCATCGCTCAGATCAGTATCTCAAACATTATTTGTAGCATAGCCTTCGGTGAGAGATATGACCATGATGACAAAGAGTTCAAGAATCTCCTGCATATGTTAGACAAGGCGTTTTTCCTAACAGCAAAGGCCACTATCGTGAACTTCTTCCCTTTTCTCAGGTATTATTCCTTTAAAAGAAGTACCCTTAACAGGAGTATACACATTATTTGTATTTAACCGCATAACGGGTTTCTGTAGAAATCTATCCATATTATATATGAAAATAAATAACTGATATTTTAACTGCAATAAAGAAAATTACATTTTGATGTGAAAGCACAACGTAACCTAACTAATTGTGTATGAGTTTTTGTTACCTAACTAATTGTGTATGAGTTTTTGTTGAGGGTCGCAATGATCAAGCACAGCATCCTCGGTACTCTAGAGGGGTAACGCTCGCTCACACGCTCAGCAGAGAACGTACGTGAGCGTTACCCCCTACACCTGGAGTATTGAGGATATTAGCCTACTTGCTATTTGAATACTGTCACACAAAATTAAATATTTTCCTGAATATGTATACATTAACATGAATACAAAATCAATTATATTTGTTTTGTCATTATATATATATCTGGTTAAACTAACCCAATCACTCAACCTTATAGGTTTCTACCGGGCGATATGACTTATTTCAAAGCAATGAAGACGAACTTGGGAAACATCAGAGCTTATCTGCAGAAACAGATTGACCAGCATAGGGACACGTTTGACGAAGAGAATATTAGGGACTTCATTGACGCCTTTCTGAAGGAGGAGCTCTCACAAGGAACATCCGAGGTTTTACATGGTATGGTCGGCTCACACGTACAATATAATATAAGTTCCGACGAATACTGTTTTTTTTTTTTTTATTTAGATCATAAGTACATGGACTCGATCAAAATATGTTTTGCAAGCTTAACAACGACAATAAATTGGCAGAAACCATATCGTATATTACGGAAAGGTTTATATGATGAAATTGAAACACATAAAAATGTATCATTGTGTTTAAAAAGTACCAATACATCATGTTGTGAGAGGATTTATGATTGGTGGGGGCGAAGAATTATCACCGTAATTAAGTGGGGTTTTTCGCAGCTGTTTCAATAACGCCACGCCATTCCATGTTGTTCCCCATTTATATCAAGGTTGACATAAAATGATATAAAATATATTATTTCTTAAAAATAAGATGTTTTGATAATGAGGCAATTTTTTAGGAGAAATTTAGGTAGAAGTCATTTTTGTGAGGATTAATACTGCCATTTCCGGTAGGTATAATACCAATTATCTTTTTCGAGGAGGAGCGCTAGGCACAAAACAAGTAGGATTGTTCTTAATATCGGTACATTTGTAGAGGATATCAAAATCGTCCAATAAATATACTTATGGAAATGTTGTGATTTTTTACCACGTAAAGATACCAAAATTGTTTGCACCCATCAGCCATGCATGGCGCGATAGACGATGATACCACTACTTTCACTGTGACAGTGGGCAGCCTGGTCTAACTTGCTGAACTTACCATATTTTACGGTTCTGCTTCCTTCTTTAATTATCCAGTTTATAATAAATACAGCCACTTTATTTTTCAATAACTTAAGTTATTCACCAAGACCAAGAGAATTTTAAGATGTAATAAAGCTTTGACAGTAATAATTATAAACACGGTGTATGCATCATTAATATCATGTCCTATTCTATACAAGAAAATGTTCACCCTTCACCAATGAAAACAATTTTTGCCGAGTGTTAATTTCGCCCTTCATATTTTTTTGGCTAAGTTTACTGTGCTTTTTACAAATATTCACTGTAATGATAAACTCGCCTTCATTATGGAGGGCGAAAAGTTAAAAAATAAACTGCAGCGAAAATAAATCAATAAATCGATACAGTTTTAAAGGAAATAATCATATGTAAAATTGTTAATTTGTTTTCAGATGAAAATTTAAAGGTGGTGTTAGGAAACCTATATATCGCTGGCACCGAGACAACAGCCACCACTATCAAGTGGGCGATCCTCTTCCTCATTCACAATCCGGAAGTGCAAACAAAAGTACGTCAAGAGATCGAAAACGTTATTGGATGCTCTCGAATTCCGTCCATGAACGACAAACCGGAAATGGTCTACACTGAAGCATTCATTCACGAGACACTTCGTATGGGTAATATCGCCCCATTGGCCCTTCAACATGCTGTCAAACATGATTGCACCCTTAAAGGGTATACTCTTCGGAAGGGGGACGTGTTATTGCCTAATCTTGATTCCGTCATGTTTGACGAATCCCTGTTTGAAGATCCACACACATTCTATCCAGACAGATTTATCGGTGATGACGGTAAACTCAATGGAACAGAACGTCATGTTCTTGCTTTCTCATTAGGTACGTTTTACCCCGATTATATTTTAACCAATGATAAACCAATAGACATCTTGTCATTAATGGAATACTATGTGTTTCTATCATATGATCTACATATTAGTCAGTGTTATAACGCCATAGCATAGACATTATAATGTAATATGTGTTAACACATCGATTGTGACGACAGAATAATCATGCGATGATGTCATGAGTTCAATTAAGAAAATAATCAAAGGCTTAACATTGTGATAAAGTTATGATGAATAGAATAACAAAACATTGTCATCTAACTAGTTAAGACTTGCTTCGCAAAAATTATATGCGATGGTAAAAAGATGCGTGCCATCTATTTAATAAATTTTACATCTATAACAGGAAGAAGAGTGTGTTTTGGTGAAAGCCTTGCAAGGATGGAGCTCTTCTTGTTTCTGACGACTCTCATCCAGCGATTCAACCTTCTTCCGGAGGACGAACAAAACCTTCCTACGCTTGAACCCATTGTCACTATCACGAATTCTCCCCAAAACTACAAGTTCAAGGCAGTCAAACTGAAATGATATCGTTTCACATATCTGTCCATATCATGTTGTTTTCCTGATTATTTCATAAACAATTAAGATATTTTTTAAGAAGATTCAACACGAACAATTAAGTAATAAGTTCAGTATGCTTTCCAATGCATACACTATGCCGGAAGTTTAAAGTATATATATTTTGCCAATAATAGGCTTTTAAATAATAGGTTCAACTACATTCTGTAAAAGAATCAATATAAAGAAGCAATTTTAGAAATATAAGTCGAAGCGATGAATATCTTTTCCACGTGTGATGAGCCTTTCCGATGCACTGGAGCCCACACGGAAATCGTCAAATTACTATCCGTACTTGTTTTTTATGTGTAATTCATTTAGAAAACGACTGTATATTTCGATAAGGATACAGTTTAAATCACCAAGGTGTTTTACACTGTGGTAAGTAATTTACATTGTGCAATTATCTTTGTGTTCATAATGTTAACGTGGAATCGGAAGCATTTTTGCAGTTATTGTAAGAGTTACCTAGTTGTAGGCCTCTCCAAGATAACAAGGATATTCTAGAAAGTATAAGTACGTGAGGTTTATCGTTTTGCCAAGAGTGTATGACTGAAAAGAAAACCCTAAAAAAAAAGAGTTTTTATGTATGTATGTATATTAAGACATTAAAGAGTCAATCGTTTTACAGAAGGTAACTTGTAACTGATGTACGTTTTGAAGAAATTAAGTCAGTGCGTGTGTATTACGTCTCCCTCTCAAATATCGGTTGAAATGCGTTTTCTGTGCTGTTGTTATATCGTTATAAGGGACGGCCTGATAAGATAAGGCTAGATGTGGGGGTTTTATGCAAAACGAGGCGTGTATTCACTCGGAGGGCGGCCCCGTCGCCATCTTGCAATGTTCGCATAAAATGGTACGGGCTCGGTTCAGTTTTTGAACACCACATTCTCATCTTCAATTCGTATCTAAAATTGAATTCGCATTTTGTAGAAAGTGTTTTATTAATATATTTGGCAAATGTTATTACCAAACAATATCGTCGGCATTGTTAAGTGTTGTGAACGCCTTTTTCTTGTCGATACAACACTTCCATGATGCTTAGTCACCTGCTGGGTTTAAAATAAATGCCTTGTAACTTAAGTAACAGTTGTTTAGGAAGGTTAGTTTGCAACACTACTAAGCTACTGAGAAAAGATTAATAACGGGTAGCGTCGGTGATGTGGAATGATCTCATAGCAAATCTTCAGGAAATTAACACCATGTTGTAGATATTAGTTGACAAAGAACTATAAGAATGTGTATATCGATAATAATACTATGGTATTGGATATATATTCATGTATATATTAGCCAAACTATAATGCCGTGTGTCAGGAAATAGATGGTTTGCATGGCTTTCTTAGTGTTAATTATTTTTGTCGTAATGCAATTTATAAATCGTTAGTATTACTAATGTATGTATTAGGATTCAGTCCTCTGCCATTTTTAGTTAATACTTTTTTTTGTAGGATTTTGTACTGGCTTTTCTATTTTGACTGTAGATCTGATACTGAAATAGTATTATATTTGATACCCATTCTGCCAAAATAATCTGATTGTTGTAAGTTATACTTCATAGTTTCGTGCAGAACAAGAGTTTTGGCGCATAGATAACAGTGTTTATAGCAGTGTTAAATACCTACAAATTACTACTGCTGTCACTTTAGTATTCTAATTCATTTCAGGTGAAAAAAGTTTGATTGGTCAATTGAAATAATTTGCGATCGTCTGAACACAATTTAACGTTACTTATAAAGCGTAGCCCCTTCAACAGTTTCCAACACTTCAATAAAGTATGTTTGTTGTGGTACGGGGATCTTTAAGTCCTTTTAAAATATATTTTCCTTTAAAAAATCATGCTACCGTGCATTTTACAGAAATATAATGGCTTAAAACTTGAGAATGTTTAAAAATAGAATGAAAATAATAAAAAACAAAAAGCAAATTATCGTATAGTAAAAATTACTTGTACAAGAAGGTACATTTTTATATGGTGTAAACATTGTATCTCTATTCTCCTTAGTTTTGTTACTTTATTCATTTGTATGTGTGTATTGTTTTTGGCACTGTTGAACTAAACTTGGTTACCAGGGACCTTAAATCATGATATAAATGGAGATTTTTTCTCAATGTTTTATTTGCCTAAATGCCTACATTTAACATTATTGTTTATTTTCGAATCCTAGAAATTAAAGTTTGCTTACGAAATTCAGCATATAGTTGTTATTGATGTATCATGTTTGTTTGGTTTGTTCAGTGAATATAACAGCCATCTTAAATGGAAGGTCGGTGGTATCCAACGATGCAATGATGACGTCATAATAACGATGACGTCAACATGTGCGTCACTTCCTCTTTGTATAAATGCTAAGCGAACTTGGTAGTTTTATTTAGAGGCATGCCATAGAGTCGGACATATTTAACTTTTGACAACATAATGGTGACGCAGAATTCCATCAGATCGGTAACATACAAATTACAGTAGACCATATGACGAGTGGTAGTTTATGCTTATAACACTCATAACCACTAAGGGGACCACTGCGAGGTTCGAGTATAAAGGTTTCAGTAGAGGTAATAAAAACCGATCCGCGAGCTGACGTCATTTTATGTTAGTCGTTTCGATATGAAATGCCATGTTATTAAACGACTGAGATAGAAAACACTATAGGACAATCAACACTTTGGGGAAGTTCGTGCCATAACTAATTGCGTCAATGTCGCGAAGTGTGTAATAACCAATTATATCTAAAGATCTCTCTTCTGAAGGCGAAACCCTTAGTTCTTGGTAAAGAAGTTATTGGAAAAGGAATTCGAGTCCCGTTCAGGAAATGCTTACTGGTGTGCATATTTCACAAGTACAACATCGCGGATTAACATGTTTGCCACATCATTCATACGTTTCACTGTAAACAAGGAGCAAAATAATAACAGCCCTGGTAATTTTCAACTCATAAAACCATTTGAAAGGGAACCTTGAGTTTTTCATATAAGTGCGCAGAAATCAGTGCCATAACCTCTCGAATACAGGATTTTCAAATTTGAATTTTCTTGTATATGAGACAGAAAGGCAATGTATCTTTGGAGTTTCCAGTGCCTTCAGAAGGCGAAACCCCTTACTTTTTGGTATCATTATGAAGGGAATTTAAGTATCTTCTAGAATATGCTCAATGGTGCGCAGATACCAAAAGCATAGTATCGCGTACCTACACGTTTGGCAAGTCGAATTTACATTTTCACCATAAACAAAGAACAAAATACATTTAAACAGCGGTTGTTAACTTCATGTGTAGAGGAAACTCGTAAAACATTGAAAAGGGAAATGTTGTCGTTTAAAAACAAAAATTAAGTGCTTAGAAACAACCCAGTTACATCATTTTGAATTTTGTATATTTTATAACAAAATACGATTGTTTTAACATAGTCTAGTGTATGACTTGGTTTGTGGGGAAAAAAATTGTCATGATTGTGTATTGATACATTTTTAATTTACATTTCATATAGAAAAAAGAGATTTCAAGGATATTATAAATCAAGCAAATATAACTGAATATAATACTGTTTTACATGTAAATTCCGATAGAAACGAGATTTGGCATCTTATGCAAGTATGTAATATGGAAATGCTCCAAGAACAATGGAAATTTCCTTTTAGCACAATTTTTTTCCAAACTTCATATAATTTATAGCACTTCTAATGACTACTTGATACGTAAGGTTAAAAATCAAAAGGTCTCAAGGGCCTGTGTGATGAGAGGAATGTCCCTGTCATTAGTAAATTAAAGCAATAAACAATTAAAAAACATGTTTAAATGGTAAACCAAATTTCTTGAAAGTGTCTGCTGCAAACAGCAAACAAAAACAAAGATGAGCCATAAATTTACAGTTTGATTTTTTTTAGTCAAACTCGTAGCCATGATAACGTTTGTCTGTTTGTTTCTTTGGGGTTTTACGTCATCGCTCCTTCTTAGAACGTATGATGACGGGTACCAACGGAGACCCTAGCTTAAAGAAAGAGTAGGTACAAGTGAGAGAAAAAAGGAAAGACATGTTCCAGATGTAGCAATGAGACAGCAGATCAATTATGGTAGCGTCAATATGATATAGGCAGAAGTCAACGGAGAAAATCTCCGATGCTGTATGCGCCCCACATAGGTCTTCTGTTACGACATGGAAATGGGATATAGCGGGTGAACTCCAGTCCAGAACCTGGACAGGGATGCATTATTGTATTCGCCATGCGAGTATCACTAGTGGGTTGTTATTACTTAAGCACTATACATATCACAGTAAGCAGGTCGGTTACCATTCAATATACCAGCAAGAAATGATGACATGCTTCCTGTTTGTGAGGGAATGAAATCTTTTAAAAGATAACTTCAAATACTTGGAACAAGAGTACCGCGGGGCGGAACAATATACGCCCGTCGAATGCCATATAGTGTTATATACTTTCTTACATTGAAATAAGATCTGCATCATTCTAAGAGTGGTTAGCTGACATGCTAGAAAATATGTAGGAGAAAATCTCCGGACAAAAAAATAAAATACTGAAATGAACAAAGGGCAAGAACTTATGCAAGAATTGTTGAATCAATATTCTTTTAAGGGAGACAACTTCATATCATGATTACAATGTATACCAAGTTTCAAAGAGATCCATTGAAAAATGTAGGAGGAGATTGCCGGACAAAAATCAAATGCTGAAATAAACAAAGGGCAATAACTTTTGCAGAAATTGTTGAATCAAAATTCTTTTCAAGGAAACACAACAACATATCATGATTATTAAGCCTACTAAGTTTCAAAGAAATCTGTCGAAACATGTCGGAGAAGATATCCGACAATCAAATACTGAAATGAACAAAGGGCAATAACTTTTGGAAAAAGTGTTGAATCAAAATTCTTTTAAGGGAGACACAACTTCATATCATGATTATAATGTTTACCTAGTTTCAAAGAGATCGGTCGAAAAATGTAGGAGGAGATTGCCGGACAAACAAAAGTTTACGCCGGACGGACGGACGGACGGACAACCCCATACCAAATTTGACGGGCGGAAAATGAAAGGCATAAAGAAATATGACCCTAGTGCGGATTTCCTTCTGTCGTTTATGGAACTGAAGATATCAAGATTGGATTTTCACAATCGACATTTGTTTGGTACATGTCATAAGTTGAATAACACTTGGAGTGGACGAGATAAGAGTTATCACATACGAATTGATCAACTGCTTTCCTTCTCTCCCAGTATCGTAATGCATATTTTGGAGATATGCAGAAAATTATCTAGTATGAGGTTAAATATCTCGTAAATCATAGGTTAATATTGTTACGTGATTTTATTGCATATGAAAGTCCGTAGGAGTATTTTTATTTTACGGAGACAAATAATATAAATATAAACGATATAAAAATCTCAATGGCCCCCACAAGAATGAATCGTGTATGCAGTACTTTCAGAAACATTCAGTATGTTCAACTAACAAGATAAGCGCATAGTAGCACTGTAAATGGCAATTCCTCCTGTATAACATAGTTTGGTATTGTACACTTATCACAGTTGAAGAGGTAATTTGGCTGAAGCAGCTATAGCGAAAAAGCCTGGTCTCTCTGTCAGTTTGGCCATCCATTTAGAGACGCACGGATACCTGTTAACGACAATGTCTATGTCTAGGAGAGTCAGCTGTTTAAGTCGACAGAATACACACATGTCCGCCAGCGTCACCTCGTCTCCGACCAGGTACACACGCACCTGCATCCAACATAGAAATTAACATACTAAATCAACATCGGTGTTAAAATAAAACATAGTAAGGACTCTCCTAGAAGATGTTTCAGGACAAAAACCATGTTCTCTCCTATTTAACACATTATAAGTAGTTATTTTGGTTGAATAAATGTATACAATATATTAACAAATAAGTGTTGGGGTCTTACTCGGCAATAGAACTGAAACAAAAGGCTGATCTAGCCGTTGTGGTGACCACTGGCCTAAAAGTTGGTAATACACCAATCAATATTTCAGATAACGAATTGTGAATTTCGCCATAAAAGTGTATTCGTGTTAAAAGCCTCCTATCCAATATTTTTGTCTGCAGGGCATCGGCAAAAAAGGAGTATGACCTGCTGTCTTACATGTTCTACATGGTAAATTGATGTTACTAATGTGGATTTTTGGACACACCTGACTTTATATTAAGGATGGACCGTTAAGAATTATTATGAAAATACTAACAACTAGTTTAATACGAAATTGTACTCATTAGGCCTATACGTAGAGTTTCGTAGCAAATTAGGAGCTTGTTTTAATTTGATTTATATCTAATGAAATAAATCCCCAAAACTCGTCACATGCTGTTAAAGCAGAAAATATACAGAACGACACGTACATATCGCCTGAACAATCGGAAACAACTATAATCAACAGAAAATATTTTCAATTTGGCCTGTACACTGCAGACAAAGCTACTTCTCACTCGAATTTTAGCCAATAGTAAACAAAACCAATAGACTGACGACATAATTACAGCCTATGGAGTTAAAGGGGGGAAATTCAACTAATAATTGGAAATGATTTTACTTTGGACTGTTGACTTACAATGTACTTCATACGATAATGTATCTACTATATTGATTGGATAAACATGTTGTCCCAAAAAGGCAAACTGTATTTGAACGGAGTATAAAGTAACATATCACCATAATAAAAGGCTGAGACTAAAATGACCAACGGGGAATTTTTAGAGTTTCGCCAGTTTATATCTGGCTCTGTAATCACTTATGTTTAAATTTGAGCAATACCCAATTAAAATACCTCGTCTGTGTCGTTTTTTTTGTATCCAGTTGGTTATTTAGTAATTTGCAACATTAAAAAATCTGATTTTCAAGAGTTATCAAATCGAATTTTAAAATAGAAATGCGTTTAAACACCACAGACTTTACACTTACCCTTAATGCACTTTCCAAATAGTCTAGTTGTGTTAAAATGTTTTCTCGGTGGCTAGTGTACGATTCCCGCTGTTCCTCCTGGGACGGGAGATCTTCTAAACTGTATTTAGACAGCATGTCCGTCACGTGATGATTATAATTCCTCATTCTGGCAATACAGACATAATTATATAACATAGCGTTTCACACATGCTTTGGCAAAGAGAAAGGTTTTAAGGTAGAGAGTACCAGTGCATCAGTTACAAACGCGAAGAGGAGTTCCACACAGAGTTTTCGCCCTTCCATATTTGTATGAAGCAACCAGAAGGAGTTTTACTGCCTTAGAGTCACTTCCCTTGTCACGTTTAAAACTCGTTGCAATGCATTACTTGTATATGTAGGCTTTGCAACGTCCCTAGTTCGACCCTGTATTTTTCTAAATTTATATTTCTTTTTCAAACATTCAATTTTCAAACAACTACAGTTCTGTAAAATGCATGGCAAGATGTGATTTTTATTGAATAACTAATTTGATAAAGACTTAAACAAATCGTTCTCTCTAGTGACGATGGTAATAATAGTTTTTCTTGTTGGTACCCTTTAACTTGATTTAAGAATAAGAAATGGCTATCATCTTATTATGCGAAAATACGTTATACATTAATATAAAACTTGTAATCGATAATAGAAAAACCCATTAGGCAAAGTGGACATATTTAATGGTTTCAATAAAATGCATACAATGATGATATTTTGAAATGTATTAATAATTCTTATTTCCATACGTTACTTTTAAATCACATTTGGGGTTTTTCTTGTATAAAAAAGTTATTTGGAAAAAAAATCTTACTTAAGATGTCTTATTTGTTTTACGATGATAAAACACTTGTGTACAGTATACCTACCCCAGTAAGAAACACTTCACTATTACCGGGAACTTATCCGAGTGATGTGGAGAACACTCAAGCTGCATTAACGAATCAATATTATCCTGGTACCTGCGAAGTAAATAAATCTTTAATTTATGCTAACGTTTTTTTAATTCAAATGATTTATTTTTGATTTTTTGTTTGGTATAATATAATACTACAATGTTAATTATGCGATTGCATTTGTGATAAACCTATCGCAACTGAGAAAATTATCTCACATATTTGTAACAAATATCAGAAATTAAAAAAAAAAAAAAGAGACACGCTTCCATTTAATGTAAGATTTATACACTTTTTCACAATTTACACGAACTTTCCATTTAGGACGCCAGTGGCTCGCAAAAATAATTTTAGTCTCCTTTCAACAATCTGATATGTAATACAAATGCATGAATTTCTATTTAGGATCATTTTCAATCGAATTTTATTGACATTTGAAATAACTTCATTCTTTAATCTTTATTCGACTCGTTTCACGGTTAGCTGCTATGATGGATGAAAAGCGTTGACAAACAATATGTTATGTGATCCTAGTACATGTATGACATATTGTACGTACCTGGTTACTAGCACTTGAGACAGAATTTTGTTTTCTATGAGGGGTGATATATCAGACTCATACATAGCCTGTTCCCAGGCCTGCCAACACTGAACATACGCCTTCTTCAAAGGATCGGTCGGCATAAAATCTGCAAGATAAACAAAACAATGAAGGAATTGAGAAAAAGGAAAACAAATTATTGTCTGTTGATTAATCCGCGCCAGATTAAAATATGAATATAATACACATACATGTGATGGCATCTTTAAACCATATAAATGCCAAAAATTCGTCCTTCTACGACTCATCGGTGATACCTAGGACCTAAAAGTTGGAAAACTAAAAAGGTCTAAACTACTGTTAAACATAAGGGAACGTGGGTAATGGAATGAATTACAAACTTAATTAAATACCGTAAAAAATCGTTTTCGTCTGCCTATTAATCAATTTATAAATACTGTTTACTTTATCGAAATAACGCTATTGACATCACATAGTAAAGAATTTCGTGTGCGGTTTGTACATATTAACATTTTAAGCATGCTTTGACCTCCGTTGCTATGTAAATGTTCACAACTTATTGTCTAAGAATGCATGTTATTTATTTATGATATATCCTACTTTGTCCAGAACCCGTCCTGTCGATATACTCGAGAGTGGACAGCTGTCCGACCACTGTCCAGTCGCCTTCTTTAAGACACTGAAGCCTGCTACAGCCACTCGAACGTCCTATCAAGTCAATGACATCACCATTAGCCAGCCGAAACGACATCTCCTTGAAACAATAGACAGACAAATATTTAGGGAAACATAATTCTATAACAACAACAGGTATATGGTAACAACGATCACTGTGCAAAATAAGGGAAGTACGTTTACATAATCACGTCACGTGTATTTTATAGAAATCATACCATAACAATATATTTAACAAAAACATCACATAACTCAAATACCTTTGACTTTTAAAATGAGTTTGCCCTACCTTCTCCATCATCAGTAGAGTACTCTGCCAGGTTTCGGCTGATAAGGGAACCTCTGTCAATGTTCTCCCGTTGGTTTTCCCATCAAACATATCATCATACTCAGACACATCCTTGTACAATGCTGAAGCTCTGGGGTGGTATATACAAGTAGATGTTATTATAATCATCAAAGGGGAGGGGGGAGGGGGGTGGGGAGTTAAACCTCCTCGAGTCACCTAACGGGGTCTTACGATAGCGAACCGGGAGTCACCAGACAAATAAAACAGAGAAGAGAGACGGAAATATTCTAGGTAATACAATGTAGGCAAACTAATGTCCTATAAGAATTCCCTTTAAAGTCCTGAGGACACCAGTCAAAACATGGGGTCATTATTAGCACACCTCTGATCATCATATTACGGATTACAATAGACAATCCTTTTCAGTGGAACCTGTGCATAGCATCGAGGTAACGTACTAAGCTTTGACGTACACTTAAAACAGCAATCCCCGTCGACCTATGTTTACCAGTTATTTACAGTTAATATTTGTACCTGTTATGTTTTAAACTAACCTGTAATAAAACTATTGTACAATAGACTGACAAAACGTTTATCATTACGCACTAAACTGCTTACCTGGAAAGAGCAGCACTCCCATTAAAACGAAAATGTCTGTCGCCACTCCTGAGGTTACTTATCCACACAAATACGCGCTCAAATCTTGTGATGAAATAACAGAGTCGCTGAATGTCCACATCCTCACTCCTGGCAAAAGACTCTCTAGTCCCTAGCTCCTTCATGTATCTAGTTACGTTTGGAAATATGTCTTGTGGAATAGGCAGGCCGATCACTGGAAACATACTTATCAGTGGAAACACGGCGATGTCAGCTGCCGACAATGAATCACCGACCTGTATAACAGTGATTAGAGGTTAGAATATCAAATAAAATATATATAGTTTTGAAGCAAAACAGAATAGATATAATTGAAAATAAATGATTCCCTTTAGTCCACCTTTTCTATATTCGTTTCTTTTATATGCCACAGCAATAACAACAGTGGGGACAAAAACAACACTGGGCATCGAAGGTTGGAAAGGATGTCAATGAGAACAAAGGTCCATAAAAATAAAATTGTTTTAAGGATTCTTGTATTGTTTTTGAATCCAATACAAACAAGGCAGGTCCATTTAGTTATCATTTAATTACCGGCTTTCGGAAAGATCAACATACAACCTGAGTGATTTGCTTGTATTTTGTTCCTCGAAGTTTTTTTGAAACATGTATAAGAGATGTTATAGTGTGTGTAGTATGGATATCATACCATTCGTCAGTTACTACAACTGGGCCATAATTGTATGGAGATGTAGAAAAAGAACATGCTGAAGAGAAAGTATGCCAAAGCCTTCTAAATTCAGTTGTTCACTCATTGAAATCAGGTGTTTAATGTAGTATGCATTTAAAGATCCGTTTTTTTGTTTTTGTTTTTTTCCAAATTCTTTAACCGGAAACTTTCCATCAATCGGCATATTGTATAGGAGGTCACAGATTTTCAGAACATGGTGTTAGGGCCAGCTCAAGATATAATATAAACAGTCTTTTCTGGAAAACATTAACATATTGCAGGAAGTTGGGAAACAAAATGTTATAGCGGTAACTAGAGCGCCTTACCAAATACTCTTCTTCGCCCAACTCCTTTTCTAGCATGTACAACATTTTATAACAGGCGAATGCGTGATGTTCCAGTTCAGCATCAGTCTTGTATGTTCCTTCACACGACCTGGAATAGGCATTTTTTTAAAAATCTTTTTGTAGACAAAAAACATTGCCTTTGGCAGACAAAAAGACATGCAATTGTCTTCTTCATTAATCCATATTACAAAGTACTTTGAATCAATTGCATCGTTACATGTGTCATGAAAATGAAATGAAACGTTAAAACATTATTAAACATTTCAGATATGTGTCGAAATAGACTATAATGATGCTTAGTATTATCATATGCTGTACTTTCAGAGACATTTGTCCATGTACTTTTTTTTATATAAAAATGTATTGTCTTGGCGAACATATACCATACACCTTGTATTCAGTCTATACCTCAGGTATACTGCATTAGCTGTCGTAGAGATGGAGTCATATAATGATTCCTCCAACACTTTTACCGATCCGAACATCAGTCTAGTGAGGAATCCGAGCAAGTTCTGATGTAATAGCGCCATGTAGTCCTGAAATTGTACAACACGTGATCATTTAATGGAGCATGGTGAAATAACATAAGTCCACCAGCGAAAGTATAAATTACAAATTTCTTATTTTTGAATTTATAGAAAAGCATAAATAGATCTTTCAAATGAAATATTACCAAAAGGTCATGTAATACATTTGTTCAAGTCAATCGCATGCAAACAACACATATACACTTACATTGTACTGCAAGTCAATACAATATTTTTCTATTTCCGCTGGAAGTACATATTTTACAGGAAACGTTTCCAGAAGAATTGGCGTTTGTAGGGCATTCGCCGCAATTAAATCAGTGTCCTTTTGGAATTTCTCATCCAGCCTCAAATTAAGTTAAACCATTAGAGAAAGCAAACATGTAGGTGATGTTAGGCTACACCAATTAACGATAATGTACAGACACTTATGATACAGATCTTACAAGATGTCGGCCTTCAATGTCTGTGTGAAAGTTGGAGCGAGAGACTTGAAGCATACCTGGGCCAATTGCTGTTCCCACTCCTGCCACATCCTGACACAGGTACGCCGCCGCGGATCGTCTGGGTACAGACTTGTCCCCGGGAACACGGAGTCCAGATACTCAATGATGACGTGAGACTCGTACAACGTACAGTCCGGTACATCCTGAGTTAAAAGGGAATAAACTTCAATTAACGTTTAATATCCAACAAATATGACAAATATAATTGTTAAATATAACGTTGGTTTGGGACAGACAATCTATCCCTGTTTGTGGCTGTTAAACATAACGTTGGGTTGGGACAGACAATATATCCCTGTCCCCGGCTGTTAAATATAACGTTGGGTTGGGACAGACAATATATCCCGGTTTGTGGCTGTTAAATATAAAGTTGGTTTGGGACAGACAATATATCCCTGTCCCCGGCTGTTAAATATAACGTTGGATTGGGACAGACAATATATCCCTGTTTTTGGCTGTTAAATATAACGTTGGGTTGGGACAGACAATATATCCCTGTCCCCGGCTGTTAAATATAACGTTGGATTGGGACAGACAATATATCCCGGTTTGTGGCTGTTAAATATAAAGTTGGTTTGGGACAGACAATAAATCCCTGTTTGTGGCTGTTAAACATAACGTTGGGTTGGGACAGACAATATATCCCTGTTTGGGGCTGTTAAACATAACGTTGGGTTGGGACAGACAATATATCCCGGTTTGTGGCTGTTAAATATAAAGTTGGTTTGGGACAGACAATAAATCCCTGTTTGTGGCTGTTAAACATAACGTTGGTTTGGGACAGACAATCTATCCCTGTTTGTGGCTGTTATATATAACGTTGGTTTGGGACAAACAATGTGTCCCTGTTTGTGGCTGTTAAATACAACGTTGGTTTGGGACAGACAATATGTCCCTGTTTGTGGCTGTTAAATACAACGTTGGTTTGGGACAGACAATAAATCCCTGTTTGTGGCTGTTAAATATAACGTTTGTTTGGGACAGACAATATGTCCCTGTTTGTGGCAGTTAAATATAACGTTGGTTTGGGGCAAACAATATGTCCCTGTTTGTGGCTGTTAAATATAACGTTGGGTTGGGACAGACAATATATCCCTGTCCCCGGCTGTTAAATATAACGTTGGATTGGGACAGACAATATATCCCGGTTTGTGGCTGTTAAATATAACGTTGTTTTGGGACAGACAATATATCCCTGTTTGTGGCTGTTAAATATAACGTTAAATATTGTGTAAGTTAAAAAGGTCATTATCTATCAAAAGTCTCTATTGATGGCTGTGAAAAATACATATCTCTTCTATACCACATCTTTATTAACAGAAAATATCTCTTTTCTCTGAAACCATTGAACATGGATCGTTATCATTGTTAAAAAATGTGTTTGATTGTCTTTGGACAAAGTAATATATATTTTATCTTTAATGTCTTTGATTGTGCTTTGGCCGGACACTATCTACTCCTCTTAAACAACTTCCAAATATTTTTGTTGGAATAACCATGTAAATCGATATTCTTACCTGAACGTTTTTGATATGTATGGCAGGGACCTTCCCATTCGAGTTGATTGCAAGATATTCTTTGGTAAATTGTTCTCCAATAGTCAGGTCTATATTGATCTACAAAGAAAACCATATTTACTATTACTCCGACAAACCATAATAAAGTTAGCCCAGATACATGTGTATGCAATGTTAAATACAAACGTATTAGCATATTCCAAGATCAACTACTAGTATACAAACAACAAATTAAGTGCTGTATACCACGTCACATCCAGATATATACCACGTCACTTCCAGATATATACCACGTCACATCCAGATATATACCACGTCACATCCAGATATATACCACGTCACATCCAGATAATAATATTCATCTTATAATGACGACACTGCTCCTTTCAGATTTTTTTTACCTTAAACATACTAAAACTGATGTACGGGTGGTATTTATTGATGAACGTAATAACTACACTATATATTTTGAAGAGCAACAGTACCACACAGAAATCAATTGATGTATACGCCAGTAAAAAGTAAAACAGTTGTTCTTAAAATATATTGAAGTGTCGTGTAGGAACCTTTATAGTTTAAACTTTTTTCCTTTAACACTTCCCCTCAAACTTTCTTTAAATAAGTGTCTTTAAGGCAAAATATGATAGGACATAGTGTTTGATTAATATAGTTAACTCATTTGAACTTCAAAGTTTTGTCACTTTAGAACTTTCTCTTACTACTTCGTCTGATTAGTAAAAAGTTTTGAACATCTCTCAAACGGGTAAAGTAAATATAGTGGTATGTTTCTCCTTAATAGTAACATATTGCAAAGAGAACTTCCACATTTGTTCTTTTTACACTAACAATAAATGTTTTCTATGTGACGAAACGATGACTATTAAAAAAATCATTGGTTTTGTAAAAACTTTTCATGATCCATAATTACCAATCTGAAGAATACACAGACATCGATATGTTTATGCCCTCACGTTACCTTAGTAAACGGTATGTTTTTCTCCAAAAGTGCAATCCTGACCCGCCGGGCACAAACACTGTGACTATTGTCAAACAGACTGACACCATCCGGTAACTCAAACTTGCTAAAAAAACAATAGAACACCGAAGCGTTAACAAAATCATTATACGAACACAAATTGATTAAACTATGGCAAAATATGGACAAAGAAACGATTTCACGGATACCATAAATAAAGTAAATGACCAGATGTTCTGGGTCCGTATTCCTGAAACCGTTCTCATGCTCAAGCACGGATTTTGTGCTCATGCCTAATTTCGATTATAAATGATTAAAAACATCTCATTTTGTCAATTATTTGGGGAAAAAATGTAAAGAGAGTTTAAGCCGAATACTGTTTTCTATGTTTACAACTAACATTTTGATCGTTTGACATGATTTAAGTGAGTTACAAGAGAGCTGGTTTGAACACGAAACCCACGCTTGAGCACGAGAACAGCTTCATGAGTACGAGCCCCGGAAGGGTTAGGATGGGTAAACAACTACTGTTTCTACGTCAAATCCAAGTTATGACACGTTCTCAAAGTGTGGCAAGGCGTAGTGTCAACAAAGAAACAAAGCGCACCAATGAGCAATATCATAATCGTCGATATGGCGACCTTGTCATGTACTGTAGATATCACCAGTATGTATTACGGGAATCGGGATACCAATCCTTGGAGCCAGCCCATAAACATCGAATCAAGTACAATATGTAACAGGTCTTTACAAAATTTCATGCTGTATTTATCGCTGTAATTTTATTGTAATGTATGATTTGTTGAAACCAACACAAAAACCAAGTTAACTTTGTTTCAATTCAATTAATTGTGTTTGGAAAAAATTGTACTAGCTATAGCAAAATATATAACACAGTATATAATTATCGTTATCAGGTATAAGATATTTTTGCGTAAATATTTTGCAATCATAATATATGAGTTCAGTGAGATTAAGAGGATTTTGTTCTGTGTCTGTCTCGATAAAATGATGTTCATTGTTTATTATACCGTGATTACATCAGAACTAGTAATGAAAGCTGTTTTAGTGTAAATACGAGTGTTTCTTTTAATACATTTCCAAAGACTGTGACAAACACTTTTATTGTTTTTATTCTAAATATAGTTTTCTTTTTTACCCTTTTGAAACCGGTGATTTTATTCAGAAAAAAAAACAAAGAGTAAAATTAGATACGGGTATACATATCACAGCTAACCTAAAATGTTTTTTCATAAAGCCCAGATTAATGGAAAATATTCACGTGTTTCAGTAGCCCAAACTTCCTCTGGCCCTAGACTTAGACATTTGGACAGATAGATGTCTTGTGTGGGACATCTATCTGTCAAAATGTCTAAGTCTGGTGTCAGGGCCAGAGGAAACTCGGGCTTCTGTTTCACTATTGTTGGACAACTGGACAATCCCCTGTATAACCGGCTTATTTTTAGTAATTGAATATCTATGTGCCATTACATGTAGGTAACAATGACTCTATGGCGGTCGATTCCTAGCGGCTTGACCACACAATGGTAACGAAGCGACACACGCTTGACTACTGACATAAAAAGCTGACCATGTGTTAGCTATAGGCATGCCACCACAGGTGTATTCTTGATTTAACTTTTGCTACATACTTAGTTACATAACTCTAATTTAGGGATTATTTCTAGAATGACAAATGAAAACCAGTGATTGAATGGGATTAAATGTATCCATAATACATTTGCATTCCAAACAAATAATGCAACATAAGGTAAAATGTACTGGTTTATAACAAGGATACACTCCTGCATAATAATTACAACTGTCATAAGGGGAACGAAACACCGTAATATTGTCGATGGGGCACAATGGGGGTTGTTGCGTTCGTTTGCGGGGGCACAATAAGGGTTGTCACGTTGGTATTCGGGAACACACACTGAGGGTTGTCACGTTCGTATTCGGGAACACACACTGAGGGTTGTCACGTTCGTATTCGGGAGCACACTGGGGGTTGTCACGTTGGTATTCGTGAACACACACTGAGGGTTTCACGTTCGTATTCGGGAGCACACTGGGGGTTGTCACGTTCGTATTCGGGAACACACACTGAGGGTTGTCACGTTCGTATTCGGGAGCACACTGAGGGTTTTCACGTTCGTATTCGGGAACACACACTGAGGGTTGTCACGTTCGTATTCGGTAGCACACCGAGGGTTGTCACGTTCGTATTCGGGAGCACAATGAGGGTTGTACAGGGATCATGTAAACAGCTGAGGTTATTATGTTCATATTTTGGGGTGGGTGGGAGGAGTGGGAGGGGTGGGGACAGGGATGAACTGGGATTATATGAACAGCTTAGATGTTCACGTTCGCTTCGGGAGAACAGTATTACTGGGGTTTGTGGACACCTAAGGTTGTCATGGACAGATGAGGTTGTCATGCTCGTTTTTGGAAGATTGCTAGTAGACTGCATTGTGAATGCAGGAACAACAGACCTATCTTCCTTCGTGGTATTCGAGCCGTGTGTAGCCGTGTGATACTGAAAGCGACATTTTAGACGAAGCGGGGGGATGTAGATCTACGGGACACGAGGCCGCGGGTCTACGAATGACGGACAGTTGTACAGGATGTCGTATTTTAGGGTATACTTTATTAAAATATAGTTTATATATATCTGAGCTGACGTGTTATCTAGTCATGACTTTAGGTATTAACTAATCTATCGATCATTTCTAATAATTCACATTGCTGGTGTTGGCTAAACCACATAACTAGATTTGATGTAAGTCCATGTTTAAACAGTGATTTAGTATATGGACATTTTTATTTAAACGAAAGTAGGTTCATCTGCATTCCTCTTTTTTGTCTTTACAATGAAGTACCGTCAGTCTAGTTTATACGTCCTGTTTATAACTTATCATACCTGTTAAAATATACCAGATGTATACTTGCTATAGCTTTACAACAGACTGGCAGGTAAGTTCACTTACCTCTTGAGAGAGCCCTCTTTGATACGGGCCCGAGTCTTCCTTGTTATCCTTCTGTAACATATCCAGAATACCACAGCCCCTATGATGGTTCCTATCAGGGGCCAAATTCCATCTGGTAAGATCCGGTTAGCCATAGTTTACCTACAAACTGTCATTACGTTCTAAAATGGCGAGTTACAAACACGGGGAAGCCTAGGAGAAGGATGGCCGCCCACGTATTGTGATGCATCAGAGCGTGCAAGTATACGGGTATTGAAGATAAAATGTTCACTCAGCGATTTAAGTTTTACTTATGTACATATTTGTAGTACCACGAAAGTGTGGTACAAGATATGTATATGATGTCAGAGTTTTTATTTTTGCTTGCGTGTTTAGAATGAGTATTTATAAATATGCTACACACATATCAAAGGTGTCTCGCTGTACTGCGAGTGTGGAATGAAATTATGTGATCAGTTTAAGTTGACCAAACCTTAGATTGTCAAATAAACAAATTATTTGTATATACACCTGATGACATAACTACTGGCTTTAATCAGAGGTGTTTATACTACATGCTTTATATGTATACGCTTTAATTGGGATCATACAGCCTCGAGCGGGTCTTGTCTTGGCGATACTCTATACATCGAGGGTCCTAGCATATGCTTTTTGTGGTCTCAGACTCAGCGGAAAAAAACTAATATATCTAGCATTTCAAGATACTAGCTCTTCAATGGTAGCCACGGATAGATGTCATGCCTACTTCAACTGTACGGGAAATGGTAACTTGAAATGTCCCATTAACCTATCTCCCCTTAAAAACTACTTTGTTATTTTGTGAGGATAACCATTTGCCAAGCAGCTAAATTATCAGGTGCATTGACCGCGCAGTGCTTATCTCAAGATTCTGTTCGAAAGAGTTTGGCAAAGTAGATTTGGTGGCTGCCCAATGGCAAAATACGATTAACAGCCAAGCGTTTGAGCTCATTTTTACAGTGTTCATTTTCCTAGAAGAGAAATGCAGAGGATCGAATCTGCAGAGGTTCTAAAGTATCGTCGGGAGATAAAGCCCCTTTCTTATGAAAAAGACATGCTCTAGTGTTAAAAGTAGCTGCAATAATGTTGTCCACGGGTACATTCGTTGAAGCGTTAACGTTTCAGACTTATTTTTAACGCTACACGTATTCAGATATCAAATACCCAGGGCATAAAAAACATATAGAGAAAACTACTTCCGCTTCGAGTTATAACTAATTCTTACAAGTCCCTAGGCCTCCCAAACGTTCTTCATTTAGTACTAAATCGATGCAAGAAATGATTCAGACACCAACTATATACGATGTTCTGACGTTTGGGTTGGTTGTTATATCGGAGTATATATTTTTACTGATGTTTAAACAAAATGTACGGAGAAAACACATGTGGTTATGCAGTTAAGTATTACTGACGTCACAGCGGGGTTGGCATCTTTTTTTAGCCCATTGCATGTTTTTTTTGTCATGGAAGTCATTATTACAGTCCACGTGTACAGCCAAACCTTTTTTCCGAGATGGTTTAATCGCAAATATTGGATATTTGTTTACACAAAGAATGCTACATTCATTCCTTGACAGTATGGTAGTCGCATTGTGTTGAACATCAATTAAAAATGACAACGTTTTGAGTTTGGCTGATTACTGATTGTTTATTCGGTACAGTATAGCGTGGGGTTCCTTAGGCAACACTCATGTTTCTATCAGACTAGATTTATGAGGATATTTGTTTCCTTTCTGTTCTCGCTGTGAGATGATAAACTCGCAAGTGGCGTCAGTGGGAGGTAGAGTTTCACTTATCCAGTCTGACCTCCTTAAAATAAAAGCAAGGCGATCTTTAGAATTTCATTCCCAAAAGTGTTTATTTACATAATTAAATATTTTATTAACAACCAAACTAAATACTTACTTTAAACAATATACAATAAAGTTTATCATTTCTATCTTGCACTTCATGATTTACAGTTAACCATTTTCTAATTAATATATAGTAATAAACTTTTACTCATAATTATTCCTTATAGAACATAAAACATTCTTTTTCTATATTATCGTTTTTACATTTACAATTCAGAGGTGTACTATACAATATAACCTTAAGTTCTTACCTTAAAATAAAAGCAATGCGATCTTTAGATTTCCATTCCCAAAGTGATGTTTGTGATAGATCGAGCCTTTTATGCTCAGCATCACAGTGGTGGTCATTTGTCTAACTGCTTGACCAATAAATGCAGAATTTCGCATCATGTGATCCTGGTCACCAAGGGTCGGTTTGGTACCCTTGTTTTGGTGATAAGCCCGGGATCATAATTAACTGACCATGTCACTATGTCCTTGTTTAACCTCGTTATGTAAGAACAAGTTGAGCGTGACTGTTTACATATAAATACATATAGCAAAGTATAAAGCCCGAAAGTTCTGGACATCATGACCTTGGTGTTAGGCTGACTTCACAATTACTAGTCGGCTTCATTATGTACTTTCCTTAATCCTTGACAATCGTTTTCCTAATGAGTGCCTTTTTAATTTTTCAATTAAGCCGAAACCTGGATTATCAACTGTATGAATCCTACGGCCATTGACATTGTTTTTGTTTGATAATTCCATATACTGTATCGATAGCATGTTCGCTAAACTTGATTTACACAAAAACACAATATCTTTATATATATAAATTCTTCATAAAATTGTTACTATACAATAATCACAATAAAAATATAAAATCCATCGTAATAGATGCCCTCCCAGGTTGTAAGACCTTGGCCCCAAGGTCAACTCGATCTGATGCACAAGGGAGTCGTGTACAATAAAAATACGACTGCATACACCTTGTACGTCCTTCACAATCCTAGGACCTTCAGCATCGTCATACCATCAACCAGGTAAACAATTATTTGTACAAAGCTATAGATTTGTGCGTGACAAAAACAACTCACTTCATATCAGCTAGTGATAATCTACACTCATTGTAAATACACATCTTTGTTCTAAAAAAAAAAAGGAAAAAAAAAAAAAAACAGAAAGAAAAATAAATTGAGTATAAGAATATTTGTTTTGTAATGTGGATTGATTCTGAGCATTGAGTCAGTAATCCCAAGAAATATATCGTTTTGGTACTAATAGCACAATTACAGGGAATTACAGGTATCGTGCTATAATCACAACCTTGGAATTGCCTGGTTCCATTGGCAGGGTGATATTAGGAGTTTTGTATACCACTACTGATGATGGTAGAATATCTTAAATTTGTGGACGTATTGCGTCGGGGACATATCTAAACTTGCACTAATGATGTACATTTTCTGTCCTGTCATAGAAGATAGATGGAATACAATCTGTATTTTCGAGAGGGGTTAATGTTGACCTATGCTGACAAATTTTCAAGGAATCCCCATTACATTGGGTGATGGTCGATTCCGACAATGTTGTGTAATGGGATTCCTCGTATGATAACAAGAAGTAGCCTGGTAGTTCTAACAGTTGAGTGGAGTGATTGGTTGTGTCATTAACTTGTACGGGGAACGATAGCATGCGGTAAGTTTTGAACGGGTATCTGTGAGCCGTAACCAGAAATCTAACCGAAATGTATAGCTTAGCTACTGTCCGATTGTATAAAAAGTCAGCATGTTGATAGTAGAATGTGGGGTTTTCTGTCACCAATGAATAGCCCGAGTACTTCGTGTTCAATACGGTTTGTAAGCTGTTTATGGTGCCTGTAAGAATATTAACTGGAATTAGTACGGGTGCAAGTTTGCCGTGAACTACCTATTTGGAGGTTCTGTAACTGGTCATTAAGATGTATTTTGTGGTTTAGAATGCGGAGAACTGATGACGAAATGTGCGTGGATGCTTTAAAGATAGTAACTTCATTCATATGCATTTGACTTCTTAATTGGGTAAACTCATGTTCGGTTAGCCGTATTTGTGTTGCAACGTTTTTCAGCTTATCATTCACTGTTTTGATATAGGATCAGAAATGATTTCCATGTTGTTTCAGTCTCTGTGCGACAAGATTTGTTTGTCTAGTCAATTCGTTTATATGACTTGCGAGAGTACGAACGTTTCCTGTGGTCGCGGTACCAAATATGGATCTACCGATGTCACCAACGAAAGGGAGTAGTGCTCGTGTTTTTTGTTCTGTTTGCTAGCATGGATGAGTCGGGAATCAATTGGTTTATATCTTGCATCGTTTTGTTCAAGCTAGTTGATTTTTCTTGGAATATTACCGAAGCTTGGTCGATAAACATATTATGTATCATACATGTAGCGATAACTGTGTTGAAATGTGGTTTGGGTAAGGTGTGGGTGGTGGTGACGGGGTGAAAATGGCATCGAAAAGCGAGATTTGGGTTCAGGATGATAAGGAGTATATGGTTTTTGAAAAGGTGGCTGGGATAATGCCTTGGGGATTGCTGGTGAGGTTCTGCTATGCACAAACTTTTCTCGACCATCCCCTCTAGCGAGGTTATTCTGGCCAAGAGAAGTTTTGTCGGGATATCTGACTGTGCGGCATTGACTGAGCTGTTGGTAACAATCATTGTCTTTTCTGCCAGAATAGAGATGTGAAGTAAGTCGTCTAGAGATTTTGGTTCCTTATTGGCCACAACTGATTTTATTTCTGGCTTAAGGCCACTTAAAGCTACTGCTAATTTTAACTCGTCGGAGAGTTTTCTGTTTGACATAACATAATGTAATCTGGTCAAATAGTCAATGACTTTTTCAGATTGTCCCTGTTTCGTATCAAAAAGTGAACCGTCTAACAATTCGGTATCTGCCTTAAACCTGGCTACAAAAGCTTGCTTAAGTCCGTCCCATGTTTCATGGTCCGAGTCATTATCAAACCATACTTTAGCAGGTTTTTCCAGATGGAATGGAAATGCATATTTCATTTTAGCTTCCACAAGTTCATAAAAAATACACCATGCGTGGAAATGACCTAACCAGGCTTCATAACTCTGTGTACCATCACCTGATAATTTGTCTAATGTCAAGGCACCCCCTGACATGATATCAAACAAAGTTTGCCTATCAAATGGGTCTGTCGAAGCGGCTGGCTCTGCCTCGATGTCCTCGTTGACGGAGATGTCGTCGTTGGCGAAGATGTCGTCTCCGGGACTGTGCTGGACGAAGGGGTTGAGGTTCAGGGATGGTTGGGTCAGAACGGACTTGTTGACAGAGTCCTGTCGATCTCTGGAGTCTCGTTGTGGAGATGCTGCGGTCTCCTCTAGATGTGGGTCTGAGAAGGACCTGTCCAAATTTGCCGGCCGGGGCTTGTCACGGAACCAATGAATGAACGGTCTAGAGCAGCCTTAAACTCCTTTCCGTCTCTCAACACTGAGCGCTGGTCCATACGCTTGTAGAGTGGAAAGAAGTGACTTTAGGAATGTTCGCCTTTTTTTGTTTTGTTTTTCTCCACCATCTATCAGACTAGATTTATGAGGATATTTGTTTCCTTTCTGTTCTTGCTGTTAGATGATTAACTCGCAAGTGGCGTCAGTGAGAGGTAGAGTTTCACTTATCCAGTCTGACCTCCTTAAAATAAAAGCAATGCGATCCTTAGATTTTCATTCCCAAAAGTATTTATTTACATAATTAAATATTTTACTAATAACCAAACTAAATACTTACTTTATACAATATACAATAAAGATTATCAATTCTATCTTGCACTTCATAATTTACAGTTAACCTTCTTTTTTTTTATTAATATAGAGTTGTTAACTTTTACTCATAATTATTCCTTATACAACATAAAACATTCTTTTTCTATATTATCGCTTTTACATTTACAATTCAGAGGTGTACTATACAATAAAACCTTAAATTCTTACCTTAAAATAAAAGCAAGGCGATCTTTAGATTTTCATTCCCAAAGTGATTGTTTGGGAGAGATCGAGCCTTTTTATACTCAGCACCATAGTTATGGTGAATTGTCTAACTGCTTGACCAATACATGCAGAATTTCGCATCATGTGATCCTGGTCACCAAGGGTCGGTTTGGTACCCTTGTTTTGGTGATAAGCCCGGGATCATAATTAACTGACCATGTCACTATGTTCTTGCTTAACCGTGTTATGTAAGAACAAGTTGAACGAGACTGTTTACATATAAATACATATATTAAAGTACAAAGCCCGAAAGTTCTGGACATCATGACCTAAGTGTTAGGCTGACTTTACAATTATCAGTCGGCTTCATTATGTACTTTCCTTAATCCTTGACAATCGTATTCCTAATGAGTGGCTTTTTAATCTTTCAATTAAGCCGAAACCTGGATTATCAACTGTATATGAATCCTACGACCAATGACATTGGATTTTGTTTGATAGTTCCATATACTGTATCGATAGCATGTTCGCTAAACTTGATTTACACAATAACACAATATCTTGATATATATAAATTCTTCATAAAATTGTTACTATACAATAATCACAATAAAAATATAAAATCCATTGTAATATTTCACTGAAAGAGTCAGAGCAAAAGGGCTGTTTATGGTTTGGGTATTTTTTGGTCCTTAACCTTCAAATTTAGTCAAAACCTTTAATTGAACTTCCAAATGACTGTTTCTTTAATTTTGAATACTTCCCCGATATCATCTTCGCTTGCCAAGTGTAATGTGTGTATACGAAGCGAACACATATTGGCTAGCGAAGATGCCCCGATATGAGTATGTATGGATCCGGCGTCATTACGAAATTCTGTATAAAAATCAATATGCATTCAATTTTGTCGGGTTTTTTTATATAGTTTTTGTTTTGTTTTTAAATTTAACAGTACATTCTTCAACAAACTGCAAATTTAAAATTGCTACCATAAACACGATAATTGTTAACACAAAATAATTATTGTAAATTTCAATGATATTGGGGACATTAAAAAATGAAAGTACAAGGTTAAAGGCTTTGCATTTTGATGAATTGGGACCAAAAAAGGCCCAATCATATATACCGAGTAGGGTGTAGTCCCTAAACAAATTCGTTCTCAGTTGAATTTATAAAACCGGAAACTGAGACCAGCTCGGTACCCATGTTTAGGCTAAAGAGGATGTGGTCCGAATAATGTTTGAATCGAACTATACAAACTAGCATCAAGCACTCGTTCGACTCTGTCAGATTTCAAGATGGAGGAAGAGGTACACGCTTTGATTACATTTGTGTTCAGTCAGTTTACTGCCAGTGATTATACAAAGGTTACACGTATATCTACACGGGGGTTAGATACAGCTTATTGTCATGTTCTTATGGCCCCGCGGCACATCTCTAGCATACCTGTTTTTACACTAATACAGTATGGTACAGTTACCCTGTATGAGTTGTGATCAGCTGGTGACAGGTCCAGTACACTGCCGATTGAGCTATATAGCTATAAAGACCTATAGGCTATATAGCTGTATTTACCTATAAATTATAGCTGTATTGAGCTATATTTTCTAAGATTTCAATTTTCATTAAATTAAAGCAAAGTCGCATAAAACGATAAGGTTTATGGTAATGTTGACTACAAAAAGCATACATTTAGATGTTTATTTTCATTTTTCATAAATGTAAAATTTCCGATTTTTTTTACATCAGTATTTTTTTTAAATGAATACTTATATTTAATGTCTTTTGTTATCAACCTAATAAAATCTTCTTTTAAAAGCGACTTTGTTTCGTTTTCCTTAAAAAAGAAAATCACATGAAAATAGCTCAAAAGACCTATTTCAAATAGGTCAATAGAGTTATTATAGGTCTTTACAGCTATATAGCTCAATCGGCAGAGTTTACTGGACCTGGGTGATACAGATTAACCTCAATTCTAATCTACATTATATTTTGGCTACTACTTGCATTGCTAAATGGACAGGCCACATGTCCTCGATCATGGACAGGTTGAATACGATTTAGCATCAATGACTTGGTATTTGGTCTAGTTGTTGAATAACCTGAGTTACCCCTGTCCCTGACAAGTACATGTACACCAGACTTAGACATTTTGACAGATTAATAGAATCTATCCCTGATGCGAGGTATGGATAAGGTTATTCAAACCCAAAAGATAAAATATTGAGAGAGAGACCCGATGCTCTGCCGAGGGTTTTTGCTCAATAGTTTATCCCGAGGGTTTGAATAACCTTATCCTTACCTCACATCAGGGATGGATTCTATTTCTTGCTTATTACCTAAAACCTGTAAAAACAGCTGCTCTTCCAGTAAAGTTGTAAATTGTCCGCAAATTTCTCATTTGCATATGAAGCCCGGATGGCAATTGTTAGTGATGTCAATTACCCTGACTATAGCCCCAAAAAGTCATAAAATGATGTCAAGAACAATAGCGTGACCCCAAAACTCTGCGGGTGTAAGCGATCTAGACCCATGGGTTGGATAGAATTTTCCAGCACCGCTGGAAATGCGGATATCTCGGTCTAGTATGCAAGAAATATATGTCTGGTGCACATGTAGGCCACACATCTCTCTTGTCAAAATGTGTAAGTCTGAGGTGTCAGGGCCAGAGGCAAATCGGGCTATATATATATAGCTAGTTGTCAAAACAACTGGCTCTTTCATTTTCTTAAAGACATGCAATGGGATATGGTTTTTAATCCTAGTCTGGACATGAATTTATAGTAAATGGAGATAATTCCACATTCCCTGTATGTTCTTCTGGTTTTTATACGCCCGTCGAAGACGGGGACGTATAATGTTATCACGTGAGCGGGCGGGCGGGCGGGTGGG